AATTTCTAAAACATTCCCAAAACGATCGTTCTCGCCAAACGTCACTGAAACGTCAATTCCGTCTACGCCACACTCTGTCCGGGAAGTCCAAAGTTGCGCCCGTCAAGGAAGTCCAAAGTAAACCCTGAAAACAACATTTGTCCAACGACGTTTGGCCCAGCGCTGCCGCTCTTGACACTAGCGACGTGTTACAGTAATGTAACTGTCCAAATGTTGATCGTGGGAACCCGTGAAGATCCGTCTTAGAATTGATCTTCAGTAACCCATGCCTGTCGAAGGAGGCGACTAACGGGATCGGGTGGTCAGGCTTGCTGACCTGGTTGACACGTCGTGTCATTGCATCCAAATTGCGTAGACCGAAGCTCATGCTATTGATCACTGGATTGTCTGGTCCAGACTCGATTATTTACAGACCGCCGCCATATAGCGGGAATGTTGCTGAGTGCAGCGTAAGACTAAACTCACTCACTGTGACACAGTCATATCTGTGACATAGTAATATCTGTGACATATCCATATCCGTGACATTTCCATATCTTTGGCATATCCATATCTGTAAATATCAGGAGAGCGGCGTTAAAAAACCAACCAACCAACCATTGATCGTTGAAGAACACGTGGACGTAACACACTCTGACACCTGTAGCTCTGTGGACTCACCTCCAGCTTCATCTCCATTTCAACTCGTACCACAGTCGCTCTGATGAAACGGTCTTGGGCGCCATTAGTCGCCCTTGTAACATAGATCGACGTCTGTCATCAACAATATTTGTCTGTCGATATCGTGATTGTAATCTGCCTATCTGTGAAGCATTAAAGGCACAATGTCACACATTTTGACAATATTTTGGCCTATATTATATACATACATATTGGGGCATATGCACTTACTTTAAGCTTCCTATTGATGCAATAAAATACTTATTGTCCCTTACAACTTACCTGAAATCGATAATTGAAACCTCGAGGCGAACAGCTTCCAAACAGAGAACACTTGCCATAATTATGTGGAATGTAAACAATTGTTCCGTACATCAGAAATTGTTGCACGCGGTGTTGTCGGTGTTTGCCGAACTTGTTTCAATCACAAGTTGTGCGTAGGTTATTCGTAAAGGGACATAACTCTATGGGGTTCTCTTGGAATATTGATCGGACGGTCGATTTAATGCAACGTTCCACTAATTCATTCGAACTTTTTAATTTAATATTGTAATCTAAATATTTTTTGAAATTAGATTATATTGTAGCTTCCTTGAGGGCTGATAGTAAGTGTTACTGTACACATCATGACAAACACTGGCACAAAATTGGCGTGTTTGCATTAAATTCATAATACGTATAAATACTAATCATTTTCTAAATCCATATACAATCATGCTTCCTTTTTTAATAGTATACAAAGAGATGATAACGAAACACACCAAATGCGATGACTCACACAACACTACGTGTGACTATATTTACTAGATGAAGTTGAGTTTTCGTGATGATTTTCACAGATGACATATGGATAGTGAGATGGAGTGGGTGTTGAGATGGGGTGGGTGTTGAGATGTGGATGTTGAGATGTGGGTGTTGAGATGTGGGTGTTGAGATGTGGGTGTTGAGATGTGGGTGTTGAGATGGATGGGTGTTGAGATGTGGGTGTTAAGATGTGGGTGTTGAGATGGATGATGTTGAGATGTGGGTGTTGAGATGTTGGTGATGAGATGGGGTGGGTGTTGAGATGGGGTGGGAGTTGAGATGTGGTGGGTGTTGAGATGGGGTGGGTGTTGAGATGTGGGTGTTGAGATATGGTGGGTGTTGAGATGTGGGTGTTGAGATGGATGGGTGTTGAGATGAGGGTGTTAAGATGTGGGTGTTGAGATGGATGATGTTGAGATGTGGGTGTTGAGATGTTGGTGATGAGATGGGGTGGGTGTTGAGATGGGGTGGGAGTTGAGATGTGGTGGGTGTTGAGATGGGGTGGGTGTTGAGATGTGGGTGTTGAGATATGGTGGGTGTTGAGATGGATGGGTGCTGAGATGGAGTGGGTGTTGAGATGTGGGTGTTGAGATGTGGGTGTTGAGATGTGGGTGTTGAAAAGGGGTTGGTGTTGAGATGGGTGGTGTTGAGAATTGGGTGTTGAGATGGATGGGTGTTGAGATGTGGGTGTTGAGATGTGGGTGATGAGATGGGTGGGTGTTGAGATGTGGGTATTGAGATGTGGGTGTTGAGATGTGGGTGTTGAGATGTGGGTGTTGAGATGTTGGTATTGCGATGTGGGTGTTGAGATGTGGGTGTTGAGAAGGGATGGGTGTTGAAATGGGTGGTGTTGAGATGTGGGTGTTGAGATGGATGGGTGTTTAGATGTGGGTGTTGAGATGGATGGGTGTTGAGATTGGGTGGGTGTTGAGATGTGGGTGGGTGTTGAGATGTGGATGTTGAGATGGGGTGGGTGTTGAGATGGATGGTGTTGAGATGTGGGTGTTGAGATGGATGGGTGTTGAGATGTGGGTGTTGACATGAATGAGTGTTGAGATGTGGGTGTTGAGATTTTGGGTGTTGAGATGGATGGGTGTTGAGATGTGGGTGTTGAGATGTGGGTGTTGAGATGGGATCGGTGTTGAGATGGGGTAGGTGTTGAGATGTTGGTGTTGAGATGGGTAGGGTGTTGAGATGGGGTTGATGTTGAGATGTGGTTGTTGAGATGTGGGTGTTGAGATGGATGGGTGTTGAGATGTATGTGTTGAGATTTGGGTGTTGAGATTGGGTGGGTGTTGAGATGGGTTTTAAGATGGATAGGTGTTGAGATGTGGGTGTTGAGATCTAGGTGTTGAAATATGTGGGTGTTGAGATAGGGGTGGGTGTTAGAGATGGATGGGTGTTGAAGAGATGTGGAGTGTTGTGATGTAGGTATTTGTGATAGGAGTTGAGTGTTGAGATGTGAGGTGTTGAGATTGGGTCAGTGTTGAGATGTGGGTGTTGAGAGATGGATATGTGTTGAATAGAGTGGGTTGAGAATGGGGTTGGGTGTTGAGATAGGGGTTGAGTGTTGAGAATGGATAGTGTTGAGAGATGTGGGTGTTGAAGTTAGAAATTAGGTGTTTGAGATGTAGGTGTTAGAGATGGATTGGTGTTGAGATGTAGGTGTTGAGAGATAGGGTAGGTGTTGAGATATAGGTGTTAGAGATGGATAGGTGTTGAAAGTTTATATGTTGAGAATGTAGGTGTTGAGATAGGGTGGGTGTTAGAGATAGGTGTTGAGATGTGGAGTGTTGAGATATGGAGTGTTAGAGAATGGATGGGTGTTGAGAATAGGTAGGTGTTGAAATTAGGTGGTGTTGTTAGAGATATGGAGTGTTGAGAAAGGGTGGAGTATTTGAGATGGGGTAGTGTTGAGATATGGAGTGTTAGAATGGATAGGTGTTGAGAGATATGGGTGTTGAGATGGATAGGTGTTGAGAATGTGAGTGTTGATATAGGGGTAGGTATTTGAGAGATGTGGAGTGTTGAAAGAAGGTAGGTGTTAGAGATGGATAGTGTTGAGAGATATGGGTATTTAGAGATGGATAGGTATTGATATGTGGAGGTGTTAGAATGGATGGGATTGAGAGATATGTAGGTGTTGAGAATGGATAGTATTGAGATATAGGTATTAGAGAGATAGGTAAGGTGTTGAGATAGGGTAGGTGTTGAGATATGGGTGTTGAGACGTGCTGGAGTATTTAGAGATGGATAGGCATGAATGATGTGAGTGTTGAATGTAGGTATTTAGAATATAGGTGTTGAGAGATGTGGGTGTTTAGAAAAAGGTGAGAAGTGTTGAAATGTAGGTTTTGAGAATGATGGTATTTGTTGAGAGATGAGGTATTAGAAGATGGGTATTTGTTATGTGGTAGTGTTGAGAATATGGGTGTTGAAATTGGGTAGAGTGTTGAGATAGGGTAGAGTGTTAGAGATGGATGGTGTTGAGATGTAGGTGTTGAGATAGGGGTGGGTGTTGAGATGTGGGTGTTAGAGATGGATGGGTGTTGAGATTTAGGTGTTGAGATGGGGTAGGTGTTGAGAGATTGGGTGTTGAGATGGATGGGTGTAGAGATGTATGTGTTGAGATGTGGGTGTTGATATGTAGGTGTTGAGAGATGGGTGTTGAGATGTGGGTGTTGAGAGATGTGGGTGTTAGAGATGGATAGGTGTTGAGATGTAGGTGTTTAGATAGGGTGGAGTGTTAGAGATGGATGGGTGTTGAGATGTGGGTGTTGAGATGGGGTGGAGTATTTAGAATGGATAGGTGTTGAGATGTGGGTGTTGAGATGTGGGTGTTGAGACGGATGGGTGTTGAGATGGGGTGGATGTTGAGATGGGGTGGGTGTTGATATGTGGGTGTTGAGATGGATGGGTGTTGAGATGTTGGTGTTGAGATTTAAGGGTGTTGAGATAGGGTTGGTGTTGAGATGGGGTTGATGTTGAGATGGGGTAGAAGTTGAGATGGGTGGGTGTTGAGATGGGGTGGATGTTGGTATGGGGTGGGTGTTGAGATGGATGGGTGTAGAGATGTTGGTGTTGAGATTGATGGGTGTTGAGATAGGGTTTGTGTTGAGATGGGGTTGATGTTGAGATGGGGTGGATGTTGAGGTGGAGTGGGTGTTGAGAAGGGGTGGGTGTTGGGTTGGGGTGGATGCAGAGATAGAGTAGCTGAAGAGATTGGGTGCGAGTTGAGATGTTCCACAGGTGTTGTTGAGGCTTCAGGTCATAGAAGGAAAGAGGGCCGGTCGTATTCTATTGAGTTTGCTGTAAGTGGAAGGGGAATTATATGGTTCTCGGAGAGTTGACACAAAACCTCTGAGTAAGCAGGAAGCTTTTATTTGTAATAAAAATTCATCTCAATAGTGACACATTTACGGAAATAATTCAACATTAAATTAGCCACAACATAGCGCATAGTTTCAGAGTTGCGTCACGTGATCAATCACCCCCGTTTCCATGCAAAGTAAAGATGGTTGCCATGATTAATTTCACTGTATAGACAGGGAAGCACATCACATGTTTATAATACGCTCATAACCAATGGATCAGCTGACGGAGATGTGTTCAGCAGGGAATACACGGACATACACATGCATATTCAACAAGAGAGTGTTTCATTTCTAACAGGGAAGTACAGACGCAGAAAATTACAATATCAGTTTTTTGTGAATATATTTTAAATTCAAGATCTCAGTCTCCCCTTGGCATCTCTAACAGCAGCATCCGCATTGAGGACAGTAAGTACATCGCCCTGTACGATGATGCCAAACATTTGATCGTGTTTGAAATGTAAATAGTGGTAATCATATTTGAGCGAGTGAGTGGGTATGTTTTTACGCCGTTCCAGCAGTAACACGGCGAAGGACACAAGAAATGTGCTTCACACATTGTACCCATGTAGGGAATCGAACCCGGGTCTTCGGCATGACGAGCGACACGCCCCTGAATTAACATTGCTGATGATATGTCATGTCCAGTCGCTAATGGTGGTCAGAAAGGCTTTGGGTAGTATAGGTCTTGAGATGGGTGGATGTTGAGATGGGATGGATGGGGTGGATGTTGAGATGGGATGAGTGTTGAGATGGGATGGGTGTTGAGAAGGGGTGGGTGTTGAGATGGGGTGGATGTTGAGAAGGGGTGAATGTTGAGAAGGGGTGGATGTTGAGATGGGGTGGATGTTGAGATTGGGTGGGTGTTGAGATGGGGTGGATGTTGAAAAGGGGTGAATGTTGAGAAGGGGTGGATGTTGAGATGGGATGGATGTTGAGATGAGGTGGGTGTTGAGAAGGGGTGGGTGTTGAGATGGGTAGGATGTTGAGATAAGGTGGGTGTTGAGATGGGGTGGGTGTTGAGATGGGGTGGATGTTGTGATGGGGTGGATGTTGAGAAGGGTTGAATGTTGAAATGGGGTGGATGTTGAGAAGGGGTGGATGTTGAGATGGGGTGGATGCTAGGATGTGGTGGGTGTTGAGGTGGTGTGGGTATTAAAGTGGGGTGGGTGTTGAGAAGGGGTGGGTGTTCACATACCCGTAAAGATCCGGGTTAGAATTGGTAATCAGTAACCCATACTTGTCGTAAGAGGCCACTAACGGGATCGGGTGGTCAGGCTCTCTGACTTGGTTGACACATGTCATCGTATCCCAATTGTGTAGATCGATGCCCATGCTGTTGATCACTGGATTGTCTGGCTTGATTCGATTATTTACAAACAGCCGCCATATAGGTGGAATATTGCTGGGTGTAACAAACAAACAAACAAAACAAAGAGGGCATTTAAACAGATCTATCGAGTCTCCATCTTTTGTTATCCATGCGTTGGATCCATCTACTCGCCATTGAACGGGTATGTGAGTGAGTTGGACTTAAAGCTTTTATAAGTGCCACATGGAAATAGCGTTTCTACATACTCAGTAGCACGGTACGCATGAGTCTGTGGAAACTCTTGCAATGAGTCCATTACTTGAGTCCCGTCATATTGCTTTTGTTTGTTTGTTTATTGTTTAAAGCCGCATTAAGCAATATGACTGTGGACTGTAAATAATTTAGTTTGGACCTGACAATCCAGTGATCAACAGCATGGGCATCGATCTTCACAATTGTCATATTGCTGGAGTATGGCTATAACCCACTCACTCATTGGGTGACGAGGACATTGTGTCGTGAGTGTTTGAAAGTTGTTGTTTGACGTTTCAGTCAACAGCACCAAGACTCCAAGAACCACGGTGACCTCAAATCAACTCCGGCAAGCCATGGTCAGCCAGTTCTAGTTATGTGGGTTCCACATAGATTGTTGGTCTCATTCTATCAGAGTTACAAACACATGTACCTTGGGCAATGACAGAAAATATATTGTGTGATTAATAGGGGTGGGACGGATAACCGAGTTGCGAGCTGGACCCGGGTATCTGTCTCCATGATACCCGGACCCGTTATGGTCATGTGACTAATAGATTAAACAATGTAATATGTTATTATTTCATGATTAAAAGGTTGTATTGTCTTTGAATATTCAGACATAATTTACAGTCACTTGTTTTGAATATAATACATGGCCAAGATATTGAAAAACTCGAAATTTTAGCCTTCGAGATGAAGAATAAATTGCCATTTCTTACTAATTTGATGTTAGGAATTAACACAACCGGTGTCAGGGTTGGGTAGGGTAATAGAGGGTGGGGTAAGCGGGTAGAAAATCTGGACCCGTCCCAGCCCTAGTGATAAACACAAAACAAACTACATCTAGAATATAAGATTTTGAGGTCATGTCATTCCATTTCAGTCAAACCGCCCCCACTTAATAGGACTATGATGTCGGAAGAACTCGGGGAACTGGCTCGCTTTCATGCTGTTCTCATTGCCCTGAGCATCGTGATCATCCTCCTCGGCATCACAGGAAACATCACCATCCTCTACATCTACACCTTCAAGATCAGGCTACCCGTGTTCGGTTTCTTCGTGAGGGCGTTGGCTACTGTTGACCTAGTCAACACCCTATACACCATACCATCATTTGTTACTTTCAAAACATTGCCTTCGGTCACTGATCTTCAAAATGGCTTGTGCAAGTTTTTCGGTTTCACCAACCACTTCAGTATGCTGACGACAGGAATAATGTATATCGCGATTGCAGTCCAACGATTCCAGAAGATCTGTCGACCACATGGTACCCAAATGACGGCTAGCACGGCTAGAAGAGTTGTCGCATTGTGCATGACGTTGTCCTTAATTGTCAGCGCCCCAATAATATTCTTAGTGAAGCTGTCCCCAATGACCATGGATTCAATGACAGTCCGTATGTGTAGTTTCAAGAATGAAACATTTTCGTTTCATGGGCAATATAATCTGCCCCTGTATCTGTCGGTATGGGTGTTCCTTGAGTTTCTGGTCATCACGCTGGCACTTGTAGTGATGTACTGCAGAATATCGAAAGTGCTGAGAGGATATACCAACCTATCCATTACGTGTGGTGAGAATCTCCTAAAGCCGACGACAGCGTTTTCCATTTTGACGGTGGTCTTTTTCTGCACTGGAATCCCGGTAACGGTCCTATGCTTGTATCGCAGTCTGACGGACGAAAACAGTGACACGGAGAAGTGGGAGTTACATTTGACAGATCTAGTTGTATGTTTGCCCTTTATTAACTGTGTGGTCAACCCGTTCGTGTACAGCTGGTCGTCGGGGCGGTTCAGAGCTGAGGTTAAAGCTACTCTGTGTGGACCAACGACCTGTCCGACAGAATAAGGATAAGGTATGACCCTAATTTAGCTTACACTTCTGAAGCTCCAGTGGAATGTTCAACTTGATTCTCACCGGGTGCACAACACGTGGATGTGGACGTTCAGTTTGCAACGGTTCGAGAAGATATGTCATACTAAGGCCCACAACGCGGTGTGAATAGGGTTCAGCTTGGTGGTGGTGGTGGTGGAATTGGGTTTAACGTCGTGCTTGAGAATATTTCTCTCATATGACGACGTGCATGCGTGTGTATGTGTATGTGCGGCTGCTTTTACTAGCCCAGACTTAAGCTGGTTTTATAGTGCTAGCCCACTGTGATACCATGCCGCAGTGAAGCATGAATACCCCACTCAGACACATTATACTGAATCCGAGCCGACCAGTCCTTGTTGTACCCATTAATGCCGAGCGCCAGGCAGGGACCAACAAGTAGCATATTTTAAGGTCTTTTGGTATGACGCAGTCGGGGATCGAACCCGCGACCTTCCGCACTCCGGGCGGACACTCTAACCACTACACCACGGAGGCGGTGGGTTCAGCTTGGTTATTTAATGTTTTGACTGTACAGTGACATCAAGGCGTGTGTAGAGTGGGAGGGAAGCTTAACGATAAGACCTTGAAACCTTTCTTGTGTATTGTTTTACGCCGCACTATTCCAGCTATACGGCGGCGGTCTGTTAATAATCGAGTCTGGATCAGACAATCCAGTGAACAACAGTATGAACATTAATCTGAGATACAATGACATAGGTCAACCAAGTCAGTAAGCCTGACCATCCGATCCCGTTAGCCGCCTCTTCGACAAACATGGGTTTTGAGGACCGCTTCTAATCCGGATGTTCACGGGTTAGACGTGAAACCACTGTGCATGGTTTTGGAGGTGACCGACGATGGGTAATTTATTATCTAGGATTCGAACCTATAAATCAACAGATCATGGGTGACCCAGCACTTCGAATTGTATCGCCTTAGGTTACCGAGCCATCCTGAACCACATTTCCAAGTTTTACGCAGGTTCAAAGACCAGTCACAGAACATTGAAACGGTTCTTCAAGTAGAAGGTTGTGAGCGCTCGGGACATCAGTGAGATCAAATCCAAACAGACATTGGTAAATATTAACGAGGGTATCAGAAAGAAATTGATTCACATGTAACATAGATAAACTATCTGCCCTTTCATTGGCGTACTGCACTTTTATTGGTTAGTCTTTGAAATAGTCTCGCAGCCACGGATACGCTCCGGGAATACATTGCTTTTCTTTTTGTACAAACTATAAACGACTGTCATGTTGACGAAGCAACACCAAATGCCGTGTGATGTGCAACACAGGCTGAATATGGTGGCGACGTTCATAGAGAGGGAAAGAGTTCAAACCTCAAGTATTGGAAAATTTACCAGTTATGTCAGGATAATAAGGCAGGAGGGTTGTAAATGATGTTGGTCCACTATGATAAAACCTGGCGGCATTTGGATGACCAACCAAGAATCAGGGCCCCGTTCCACAAAACGAGACCAAGTACGACTACCATAGACCAGTGTTCAAGTATGGGAGTTACGATCACCTTACCTACTGACTGCCGCTTTTAGCAATATTCCAGCAATATCAGCTTCGTGGGACAGGGCCCATGTGTCGGATATATCTTTCAGAGGAGGGGGTAAACAATTTCTATAACTGTTCTAGTATACATACAATAAAGTCGATAAAATAACTATACTGAAAATTTGGTGGCAAAGTAGGTAATGGTTAAAAAACCCAGACAAACAAAAACGCAATTTTTATTATTCTATCATTAGTTACCAATCAGTGACAATTTATTTATTTACTCACATATTTGAAAGCGAATCGTGTTTTCGGACTACAGTTACAGAATTAGTGCATACAAAAAGTAAATAACTACTCAGTGAATCCATCTGCCTTGGACGACTGCATCGGCATCCTGTTACCGCATTACGTTGATATTCCCACAGATTCCCGGATAATTTCGTGTGTGCGGCTTAGGTCATCGTTGTCAGGTCACCTGCCTGTTTCTATTCTCAGACTGTTTCTTTTTGACATAATTATCTACCTGCTTTGTAAATATTGTTTTTTAATGAATTGTCAATAAATGTTTCTTAAACTTATGAATTTTCAGTTCGTTGTCTTGCAAATGTTTTAGATTGATCTACAAAATAATTAGATTCCGTCTCACGTTCACGTGTCTAAGTGCGTTATCACATTACATCGATTTATGAGACGGATCCCAGTTTACGGCGAGAGTGGAATTTCAACAATAGACCTTCACATGTCATAGTGACTGTATAGTTTGTTCTATACCACCCATCAAAAGTTTAGATTCACTAGTCTAAATGTAGCCATTTACTTCAGTCAACTGTTCTAAACTAAATTTTCCAAAATATTCCATACCGTTTAAGGAAATGTTTACTCATGAACTGCTGTATTGTAAAACAAATTTGTAACGTTGAAAAGATTATTGTCATGAGTTCAATAAATGATGAAACTCAGTGAAAATTGGCAAATTCTTTACAAAAATGTACACAAAAACGCTGCTGTACACATGCACTATGTGTACACATGGTTTTCAGCAATTTGATGCATGATCCTCGTGCAATTCATCTGCATAAGGTTTACAGTTGGTTCCCCAAAGTTAGTGGAGAAATTCATCTGCGATGTAGCCGTTATACATAACATATAGTGAGTGCTCTAAGTGAGTCTAAACTTCTGATGGGTAGTATATATCTACATGGCTTCAGCAGTGAAGTGTATGGTTTTACGCCGCTTTCAGCAATATTCCAGCAATATCACAGCGAGGGACGCCACCCATGTGGGGAATCGAACCGGGTCTTCAGTGTGACCAGCGAACGCTTTAACCACTAGGCTACTCCACCGCCCCTTCTGCATTCTGAAATGAACTCATCTAAACTGGTTTCCAACGCTAATTGCACAGCTAAATATCTTTTTTTTTCACACCTAAAGTATTTGTATGACAATGACTCAATAACCAATCCAATCAAAAGCAACAAAACATATTTACATTAATAAACAGTTTTTGCTCAAAGCACAGTTGAGTGTACGATTCTGACTATATAAGGAGCATGGGACTAAGCCACAATGGTATATCCTCAAAAAATAAACCAACACAGACACAGACGCTCGCACTCTCTCTCAGAGTGTCAAAATGCTGTGAAGTGTAGGCTTTGGGAAGTCTGGCAAATGTGATTACTATCAACACCAGCCATACCACCTACATTACTTGGGCAGTGGGGTAGCCTTGTGGTTAAAACGTTCGTTCACCATGCCCGAAGAGCCAGGTTCGATTCCCCACATGGGTACAATGCGTGAAGCCCATTTATGGTGTCCCCGCGGTCATATTGCTGGAATATTGCTAAAAGCGGCGTAAAACTAAACTTCATTACTATGTTACCCACAGAATAGGGTGCCCTTGTACAGTGAGTGAGTTTAGTTTTACACTGTACTCAGCAATATTCCAGCTATATGGCGGCGGTCTGTAAATAATCGAGTCTGGGCCAGACAAGCCAGTGATCAACAGCATGATCATCGGTCTGCACAGTTGGGAATCGATGACATGTGTCAACCAAGCCAGCGAGCCTGACTACCCAATCCGGTTAGTCGCCTCTTACGACAAGCCTGGGTTGCTGAAGATCAATTCTAATCCGGATCTTCCCTTGTGCACAGTGATCTTAGCACTAAGGTGGCCATAGCTGCTATACCTTAACAAAGACTTATGATGGTGTTGGTGCTAAGGTAGTCTTGGACAACTACAACCTGAAATTCTTTGAGTGGCATTTAGAATCTAGTATGATGAAGAGAAACATGTTTTTATGGATAGACAACTTCTCTATTTCAATACATACAATGTTTTAGGGGTGGGTATTGCAAAGAATATTCATATTGCGATATATTGCGATGCGAAAGCATGTATTGCGATATGTATTGCAATATATTGCAGGACGTTAATGCTTGATTTATAAAGCAAAAACACAAAAAATCACTATGCCTGATTAAGCTTTAATAAAAACTACTTTACCATTACATATTTTACATACCGCGTTACACTTACCAATAGTTCCATCTACCCTGAACTTTTTCAATCCAAAATGCTGCCTTACCGATGCCTTTGCCCTAGTATTTGGCACTACAATACATTGTTCGTTGTTGGGGGTCACCATTTTACAACACATGCATGGCTTCCGGTGTAAAAGACGGAAATATCCGAAGATTTTCGTGTGTTACCAAGTTTTCCGAATGCATGTCAAAATACCGGTTTTCGATCAACGTATCGCAATACGTATCGTTTTCATGTCTGAACCGGTATATACCGGTAAACCGGTTATATTGCGCAGCCTTACAATGTTTCGGTTTCCGTCCAACCACTGTTATCAAGCAACTGATGATAACAATGTTAGCACCTACATCGAAACCTTGTATCTCTTGCAATAGGGAAGTTGTCTATCCTTCAGATGTTGTTCCTCTTCACCCTGAACTACATTTACACTACAATAGCTGCACAGAGATCAAAGACAGGATACAACAACAATACCTCTCAGTGTATCTGTTCATTGAAGTTTATTTGATATTCACACACAATAACAATACAGCATAAACAAAATACTTGGAAACTTCAGCTCTATATATGAAGGTGAATTTACTTTTGCTCTTTCTCTTTTTTGCATCAATGTTCTTTCTTTTAAAATCATGCTCTTCAACTGGAACTTTGAGATGTCACATAAGCACAAATCAAATGGAAGCCTGTGATAAGTTTTCTATCCATATGAATTAATATTTTTTCTAAAACCATTAGGCATATAGAATTGACAGTCAAAAAAGTTTGAGTATTGTTTGTGGTAGCCATTCTCAGCGACATTCCAGCTATCTGATGGTGGTCTGTAAAAATAGTCTGGACCAGACAATCAAGTGATTGACATTATGAGCATCAATCAACACTATTGGGAACCGATGACATGTGTCAACCAAGCCAGCGAGCCTGACCACCCGATCCGTTAGTCGCCTCCTACAACAGGCATGGGTTGCTGAAGGCCATATCTTCCCATCTAAAATATGAATACTGGCAAAGTCATGGCAGCCTTAGGAACTAGTGTTTTCAAGGCTAGTTGAGAAGGCCCACTGGACTAGTTTCTCACGGTCTGTAGCTAGCAGTGTTTAAATGATACAAAAATATTTACTACATTTACATTTTTGGTTTGTTTTAGTTACATTCGATCTGAAGCCAAATTAAAGCATCAAGAACTGTTTCGTAATGTTACTAGTTAGTGAGGAGTAACAAAACGGGAGTTTTACTTGTCCTCTTCCCAATAAATAGCCTCGGGCAAGAGGACCAGCAGAAGTTTGAAGGCTGGATCCTTAGGACAACCAGCTTGACCCTGGAGATTCAACCCCACAACTAGTATTTATTTTGCTGAATATTGCACAATTCAAACCTATCACAAATACATGTATTGACAACAAATATTAACTTAATCACTTTAACCATAAATGAACCATAACTGCAATTACCAATAACAATGTACTATATACAGTGTTTATTTATGTCTGTGCACCTGTAGAGTACGACTAGGACTAATGCACATTCATTCAGAGTGAAAGAATTCCAGCATGAAGTCTGAAGACTCAGAGAGAGCCATCTGTAAAAGTTCACACAAAAAGTGAGTGAAGATCACAAATGTAACTGTGGAATGCATTCAATACAAATAATGGCTGATAACAAGAAAAACATTCACTCATTCAGGCTACACATTGCAACCACATCTTTTAATTTTAGCCACCACTGTGAACATAAGCTGTGTTGTAGGACCTATTCAAGTCAGGAATTTAGACGGATTTGTTTTTTGTATCGAACACGTAAGTCAGCAATATTCCAGCTGTATCTTCATGGCCTGTAAATATTACTGTGTGGATCAGGGTATCTAGTGGTTGACATTATAAGTGATTTCCCATGCTAAAAGACACCCTATCAAGTCACAATCTATTTTTGTTGCCTCTTATGACACACAGCAATTAAATGGGGCCTGTTCTAATTCAGAATCCTTGAAGGTTAAATCTTTTTATAAAACTTCACTTTGAACAAAACAATGAAACAAATGGAGAGCATGTGAGATAACAATATTTGAATTGTTACAGTTCTCAAACAGACTCAGCACATGATAGCATTGTTCCACTGTACATCGATGTCATCAATGTCGTGTTGGATCCAATGAGAATAGCTGGTATTGTCCTCATCAGCTTCAGCTGCAACATCGATGTCATCGGTATGACGGTTGGGATGGATCCAATGAGACTAGCTGGAAATGTCCTCATCAGCCTCAGTTGCTACATCGATGTCATCGGTATGACAGTTGACCATCACTGACTGGACAACACCTGAAGGACCAGCAGCAACTCCTGGAGAAACTCCAGGAACAGGAACTGGACTTAGCATATCTGGATCAGTAGGGTTAGGTCTTGTGGCTGTAGCTTTTGATGGTGGAGCTCTTGCAGTTGAAGTTGAAGCTGGGAGAGATGTAGACAAAGTGGGATTTGTTTGTTGAGGGGGTGAACTTGAGACAGTTGCAGACAATGTGGTACTTGATGCAGCAGGAAGACTTCCATCCTGGGACTGTACTATTGAAGCCCTGGAAAATGAATCACTGTTGTGAAAAGATATTAAGATAGAGAAAAAACATTCATTCTACATTTCACCTTTTTCAAGGAAGCACTCACAATGACCAATACACTATTATAAGAGGTTATGTTCATCAGATGTCTTTCTTATAGTCAGCAAAACTTTAGTCTGGCTGGGTAACTAAACAAAAGATGTATCTTCTCAAATACCTTGTGGAAATCATTACCTACAATGATACATGATATGGGTAATAACCTGCATCATGTACATGACAGGAATGACTGACTGAGTTTAGTTTTACGCCGCTTTTAGCAATATTCCAGCAATATCACGGCGGGGGAAACCAGAAATGGGCTTCACACATTGTGCCCATGTGGGGAATCGAACCCGGATCTTGGGCGTGACGAGCCAACGCTTTAACCACTAGGCTACCCCCCCCCCCGTACATGACAGCAATAAATATCAGGCGTTGTCACTCTACCAAAATAATATACTCATCAGATGAATATTTATACTTTGTTTGTTGTTTCATGCTGCACTCAGCAATATTCCAGCTATATGGCGTCAGTCTACAAATAATTGAGTCTGGACCAGACAATCCAATGATCAATAGGGATACGATGATGTGTTAACCAAGTAAGCGAGGCTAACCATAACCATGTGTATACTTGTGATGGTCGTTGTGAACACACTCTGCATGCAGTGGGCAACAAATCAACAAAAATACATGCACACACACTATCTGCCTTGCGTGTAACAGAAGTACACAACACACTCGAAAACATCTAAGAAAGCTTCTAGCATTATAGCAAACAGGGTGTTTATAGAGTACACATAGTAACCAGAGGCCCAGATAAAATACGCATAGAAACTTTCCAATTATGCATTGAAAAAATAATTGTTGCATACCAATTACGCATTTAAAATGTTAGATACGAAAAAAGTTTAAAACAAATGCGTACAGAATATATTTATAAAAATCGCTTGCGTAATGTAAAAGACATCGATTGCTATCAAGTTGTACTGTTAGTATAGGACAAGTGTTGTACTGTCAGTATAGGATGAGTGAGTTCTTATGAAATCATTTCCATTATATTAAAGTTGGTTTTGATTAGGTATGACATAAGGCAGAACATACCTGCTTAGTAAACTTACCCAATGACATATACTTAGGTGAGTAAAATGACTGAAATACGCACATATTTGAAAGCATTGGGTAACGGAAAATAAAATACCCACTCAACATTCATAATACCCACTCCAAAAAAATACAGTGGGTACAGTACCCACATAAGCTAAATCTTATCTGGAGCTCTGGTAACTATGGACGTTTTCACTTCAGCAATATAGTGTAGTATTTGTCAGATGAAAGTGTCCGAGGCCTAAGAAGTACAAAGTGTTCGGATTATCTATCATGAGTTACCGAAATGTTTAAACCCCGAATCTTGGACAGTTGACCAATCAACACTGAAGATCATTAAACTCTGAGCTGCAAATATTGGGAGAGTTATTTCCCTCTTCCTTTCTACCATTAATATGCTAATGTTAGGGGCGTGGATGTCTGTTACTTGATTTGGGTAATACAGTAGAATCACTGCACAGGAAGGTATCCCACGGTTCACAGTAACCTCTCTGTCAAAACGTTTCCAAAAAGAACATAAAGCGTAGCCATGTGTATCAAACTTGAAAACCACTTGTGAAAAAGATCATGCAAGTGTCCGAAATATTTATCTTGAGTGACGGATTGTAATTGATCAATTCTGGGCCAGACAAACCAATGGCTGATTGAGGGATCATTGCAGGTGGGGTACAATGACACAAATTACGCCAGTTGGAAACTGTAACCTCCTGATACGCCACATGAATACATGAACATGCTTTATATAGTACATCAAATAAGTTAAACAACACAATTGGAGGTTATGAGCAATTGTCAAGCATGACATATGTTACACAATCGGAAACCATGGCATTTTAACATAGTAATATGAAAACTTTATCAGTTCTTTAACAATTTTGAAGAGTCTCTAACAAGATAACACAAATATGTCTTTTCACCTATTCTGTTCATCTGGCATGAAAAACAGAAAATATAGTGTGGCTGGCTTCTCTAAAATGTGTATTGATCAGAAAGGGTGAAATGATACAGAAGGGACATGATATAATACAAATCACGACACATAGGTGATGATACAATATGTATCGCAGTACACATATTCACGTCAAATCACGTGGAAATGTTCCAAGGGAAAAGTTAGCCGGAGACACACGTTCATCACAGATGCCTTTAGTAATAAACTTGAGATGCTGATTATGATTCTTTTCACCAGATTTGACAAGGAGTAGTAAGTATTTTAGTGAATGTATTGTCTTGAATAGATACAGAATAATAAGTAACATGTATCGTATCGTTACATGGAAAATAACGATGTACCAGTGCATCATTTCACCCGTCTTGATCAACTCAAGGCAACAACAAAGGTTACACAGAAGAAAAAAGACACACACAACTGTTTGGACATCGTGATTGGAAGTAGAGGTTCCTGTTTACAAAGATGTAAACATATACATGCTATATCTAACACAATCTGTACACACGCTCATTTAACACAATCTGTAAACATACTATATCTAACATAATCTGTACACATGTGTATTATAACATAATCTGTACACATGTGTATATAGTACAATCTGTACACAATGTGTATCTAACACAATCTGTAAACATACTATATCTAACGTAATCTGTACACATGTGTATATAACAATCTGTACACCTGTGCATCTAGCACAATCTGTACACACGTGCATCTAACAATTTGTACACATGCTATATCTAACACAATCTGTACACACTTGCATCTAAGACACAAACTATATTTGCATTCTCCAACACATCTGCAATTAAAAAAAAAATGAAATGAATTTGCTTTGCAGCCAAACAAACAATGTGTGCATGCTCCTGCTGGGAGACAACAGGCATCTTACTATTTGCCACAGTTTTTCGTGATGATCCCGAGTGGCTTTTTGTTCGGGGAGCATGGACAGACAGCGGGCAGCAGGTCACTGACGGGGCAGCGAGGAGAAACAGGTATTCAGTTAGGATTGCAAGTTCAAACTTGTTTCGTGATTCCACATTCAAAGTGAATCAATAGCATAACTTGTGTTGTTAACGCCTTCGCGGATGTATTTCAGCCTAACCATTCGAAACACAAGAGGGACGACACAAAACAGCATGAGATAATAATGGCATAAAACATGCATGATATGTTAACCTTACCAGTTCCAAAGGACATTTTTGTTTCTGTTTTCGTATGAGAAAGTTCATTTTTAATATTTCCTTTTTCATTCCATATTTTTGCAAACGAATTCATGAATGTTTCACTGGAAGTACCATGTTTGCCCTAATAAGCACCCCAGCACTAAAAATCTGACAAATTTAGATTTTTGGGGTGAGTGAGTGAGTTTAGTTTTACGCTGCACTCAGCAATATTCCAGCTATATGGCAGCGTTCTTTTGGTGTGTCCTACTACCCAAATGAAACGGTTGCCATGTGTGCAGTTGCTAACAGGTCTCACTACCCGGTATATTCTCACTACTCATTTGTGGACTTTTGTTTTGCAGCTTAACGCTGTACTGGTAATTCTGCTTTTTGGATAAGTTTCTTCGACCTCAGAGTTAACAATATCCATCAACCTCATAAAACATGTCTGGGCATATAATGAACTTGGTCTCAAAAGGAAAATATGTTTCCTCAGGAATGATCGTGAGTGAAAACAAAACTACAACCAGGAAAGAATTTGAAGTCATCAGGTAGTTCTCATAATATTCATGATCATTATCTGTTAAAATCACTGAAATGTTTCTATGATACTTATTCTGAAATGTCACAACGACTTTTAAAATGAAAGACAGCTCTTGTTGATAATCTAATCCAAAGAACTGACTATGATATATATCTGCCCTGCTGTCTGACATTATGTGTCCCACCATTTACTGAACATGATATATCTGCTCTACAGTCTGACATAACCTGTCCCACCACTTACTGAACACGATATATCTGCCTTACTGCCTGACATAACCTGTCCCATCACTTACTGAACATGATATATCTGCCCTACTGTCTGACATAACCTGTCCCACCACTTACTGAACATGATATATCTGCCTTATTGCCTGACATAACCTGTCCCAACACTTACTGAACATGATATATCTGCTCTACAGTCTGACATAACCTGCCCCAACACTTACTGAACACGATATACCTGTACAGTCCAAACATCATATATCTGCCCTACTGTCTGACATAACCTTACTGAACATGATATATCTGCCCTACTGCCTGACATAACCTGTCTGAACATATATATCTGTCCCATGTCTGACATAACTTACTGAACATGATATATCTGCCCTACTGCCTGACATAACCTGTCCCATCACTTACTGAACATGATATATCTGCTCTACATGATATATCTGAACACAATATATCTGTCTGACATAACCTGTCCCATCACTTACTGAACATGATATATCTGCCCTACTGCCTGACATAACCTGTCCCATCACTTACTGAACATGATATATCTGCTCTACCTGCTTACTGACATAACCTCTGACATAACCTGCCCCAACACTTACTGAACATGATATATCTGCCCTACTGTCTGACATAACCTGACATAACCTGTAACCCCATCACTTACTGAACATGATATATCTGTCCCTACTGCCTGACATAACCTGTCCCATCACTTACTGAACATGATATATCTGCTCTACAGTCTGACATAACCTTTACCCCATGATATATCTGCTCTACACTGACATAACCTGACACACTGATATATCTGCCCTACTGTCTGACATAACCTGTCCCACCTGATATATCTTCCCTGCTGTCCATAACCTGTCCCACACTTACTGAACATGATATATCTGCTCTACTGTCTGACATAACCTGTCCCATCACTTACTGAACATGATATATCTGCCTTACTGTCTGACATAACCTGTCCCAACCACTTACTGAACATGATATATCTGCCTATCTGTCTGACATAACTGCCTGACATAACCTGTCCCCACTTACTGAACATGATATATCTGCCCTACAGCCTGACATAACCTGTCCCACCTGTCACTTACTGAACACGATATATCTGCATTACTGCCTGACATAACCTGTCCCAACACTTACTGAACATGATATATATCTGCACTTACTGAACATGATATATCTGCCCTACTGTCTGACATAACCTGTCCCAACACTTACTGAACATGATATATCTGCCCTACTGCCTGACATAACCTGTCCCATCACTTACTGAACATGATATATCTGCCTTACTGCCTGACATAACCTGTCCCAACACTTACTGAACATGATATATCTGCCCTACTGCCTGACAAAACCTGTCCCATCACTTACTGAACATGATATATCTGCCTTACTGCCTGACATAACCTGTCCCACCACTTACTGAACATGATATATCTGCTCTACTGCCTGACATAACCTGTCCCAACACTTACTGAACACATGATATATCTGCCTTACTGCCTGACATAACCTGTCCCAACACTTACTGAACACATGATATATCTGCCTTACTGCCTGACATAACCTGTCCCAACACTTACTGAACATGATATATCTGCCTTACTGCCTGACATAACCTGTCCCAACCACTTACTCCCAACTGTCTGACAGTGTCCCAACACTTACCCAACATGATATATCTGCCCTACTGTCTGACAAACCCTGTCCCACCACTTACTGAACACGATATATCTGCCTTACTGCCTGACATAACCTGTCCCACCACTTACTGAACACGATATATCTGCATTACTGCCTGACATAACCTGTTCCAACACTTACTGAACACGATATATCTGCATTACTGCCTGACATAACCTGTCCCACCACTTACTGAACACGATATATCTGCATTACTGCCTGACATAACCTGTCCCACCACTTACTGAACCCGATATATCTGCATTATCCTGCCTGACATAACCTGTCCTACCACTTACTGAACATGATATATCTGCCCTACTGTCTGACATAACCTGTCCCACCACTTACTGAACATGATATATCTGCTCTACAGTCTGACATAACCTGTCCCATCACTTACTGAACATGATATATCTGCCTTACTGCCTGACATAACCTGTTCCAACACTTACTGAACATGATATATCTGCTCTACAGCCTGACAAACCCTGTTCCAACACTTACTGAACATGATATATCTGCCCTACTGTCTGACATAACCTGTCCCAACACTTACTGAACATGGTATATCTGCTCTACAGTCTGACATAACCTGTCCCACCACTTACTGAACATGATATATCTGCATTCCTGCCTGACATAACCTGTCCCACCACTTACTCAAGTTACTGAACATGATATATCTGACCTACGACCCCACCACTTACTCCGAGGTCTGTCCATGTCCGCTGTGGGCGAGAGAGCTATCACTACTCTGTGTGCTCTCAGACATGTTGGGCCCTGCCCCTGCTGTCGGCGTCCCACTGTGGTTGTACATGCTGGGGTTGGACGACTCCTGCTTCCTGTAATGTATTCTGATACAAACACTAACTGATTATACCCATTGTACAGTGTGCGTGATAACCAGCTGCATCATACTTCCCACACTACATTTTTGGTGAAATAATGGTATGTTGCTAACAAAGCAAGAATCAGAATCTTTATGTATATGATCCTGATCCAACTAAGGGAGACAACTCAGAACCAAGTTTATTCTGAAAAAAAAAGACAAATTAGTTCATGTCCATGGAACCTTTTTGACTTGCACATTTTCCATAACCAAAAGTTGGCCATTCTAATTGTTATTATTATCTTATCTTAGGAATAAAGAGGTAAAAAATATAGTATGACCAGAAATTATTGAGAATTTTAGGAATATGTTTAATTGGAGTTCTAGTATAAACAACCTTCACCAGCTATCAAGTGCTTGGTTTCATTCAAGGGAGACAACTCCGTTAATCCTTTTTCATTAGTTTGTGAAGTGAAGTGAAATTGGGTTTAACGTCGTACTTGAGAATATTTCGCTCATATGACGACGTGCATGCGTGTGTATGTGTATGTGCAGCTGCTTGTACTAGCCCAGACTTAAGCCATTAGTTTGTGAAGAGTTATCCCCCTTTGTTTACTTGCTAGCAGATGACATTTTCAGTGATCCTCAGTATGGATGATTTAGAGAAGAGGAAGTTGATTTTAGAGTATTATAACAAGAACATCAGATCAGCTAAAGTGATTTCAAGTAGAACAGGCATCCCTTTGTCCACTGTTTATCGTGTTTTGAAAAATATTGCAAATGGATATGGCGCATTGAGCACCAGGGAGGCGCTGGTAGGCCCAGAGAATTGACTGTCGGTGACAGGAGGCGGCTTGGTATTCTTGTTTCTAAAAACAAACGAAGGAGTTTAGAAAACATAAGGCTGGATATGATTGATAGAAGAACTGTGGGTGTCTGTAAGGAGACAATTAGAACTGAGCTGCATGCAATGGGTTGGCAGAAAAGTCGAGGAATTCCATCACCAATCATGAAACCTGAACAAAAGGAGCGAAGGTTGAACTGGTGCTTACAGCATAGAAATTTTAACTGGGACAATGTGATTTTCTCAGATGAAAGTTCTGTGTGGCTGTTTCCTAATGTGTATTTGAAGGGAATATGAACAGTGAGGGGTACACAGATATTCTCGAGAGACATTTACTTCCAAGAGGTGGTCCGATATTGGGACAGCATGGACAACGACTTTCTAACTTCTTTGATCAGTAGTATGCCCCGCCGCATTGAAGCCTGCATTGCTGCCCATGGTGACTTGACAAAAGACTAACTGTTCACCTGTCTTTGAATCTGGAGTTATGTTCTGCTAATATTCACATTTAATACGTGAGTAATGAGTGAAAAAAATAAAAAATTACAATCTTTAAATTCTCAATAATTTCTGGTTGTACTGTATAAGCACAAATATAACTGTTATCATTATCAATGGTTGGTTTTGTAAACGCTTTCTCCCACTGAGATCAATGTTAGATTAATATCCATTTTGATTAACATTGCAGGTATGTCATTGTGAGTTTGTACAATGACAACCGACAATCATGAAGGTCACTGCAGTAGTCAATTTTCCTAAATCCCATGAGCACCATACCGGGATTTGAACCCACAACCAGCTGATCTGGCTGTAGCACCCAGGGGACACAACTCTGCACAGTGAATAATGATGCCTTTGATCACTGGTCATCTGACGCCCAGGACAGGGCAGTTATGAAAGTTATTCCACACAACTCCAATGTTGAAAACAATACCAACAGATACAATTACTAGTTTAATAGTGTTCCCACCAGAGAACTACCCCACTGAGATGACAAAACACCTACTTCTTTGAAACACAGATGTTCAGGGAATATCAATATTAACAAAATGCCAAAACATTTGAACATACCTGCTGTAATTTGTCCTTTTGTATCATTTCTGTAGATTTTTATAGTCAATGTATGTAAATGATAGCTGTTCTTACTAGGATTGAAGAGTACAATGAGACCCCGGATATCCGGACACATTCGATTTTGCGTAAATCGTCTGGATAACTGAATATCCAGATATCTGGACCTGCTGATCGGTCATTAATCCGGATTAGCAGACCTTGTCTCATGTCAAATACGTGGGACACTCGCGAATCACTTCACACGGTCAGCGGAAATTCAAAGCTTCGTGCGGATAAGTGAGTAAATTTTGTGTTGATTTAGCCAGTTGGTTTCTTAAATTTACCATCCGGGAATTGAAACCGCATATCCGTTATAGACAGTCACTTTTGTAACGTAAGAGATTGTTTTTTATGTAAATTGACCAGAAGGCGAGGTTTCCGGATATTTGGGGTCCAGGTATAAAGGGGGTCTCACTGTATTAAGACTCTGGCTTTGAATCCGTGGCTAACAAACATACCTGACTGTATCCGGAAGGCAACATGTGATGGTGCAAGTATAAAACTACTATAACTAGAATTGTTCCCAGCTCAGAAACTTATTAATTGACTGAGCTAGTGAAAAGACCAACTTTAATTTCAAGGTAAAGGGAAGGTTTTTTTTACACGTTTTATAACAAAAAGTAAAATTCTGAAGCAGTTATCAGCAATTAATGTATCAAACATTCTTTCATTGAATCATACAAAACAGATGTGCTGGTGTTCAGCTTGAAAAAGAGATTCTGAAAAGAATCGAGGTTTAACAGAACCCTATGCAGCTGAGAGTTCTATCAATAAATGTCTCCCATTACACTTTGACCAAACAACCATAGAGCATTATACAACATGGCCAGACAATATGATACCAATGAGTAGGGGTGGGTATTGCAGAGAATGTTCATATTGCGATATATTGCGATGTGGAAGCATATATTGCGATATGTATTGCAATATATTGCAAGGATTATTTTTTTAACAAAAACTACCGGGTACTTATAATCGAGTTAATGCTTGATTATAAAGCAAAAACACAACAAACTCACTATGATTGATTAACCTTTTATAAAAACTTTTAATCTTGACAAAATAAAAATGTAAGTAACATTTGGCACTAATGAAACAGGGAAAAGAACAATTAAAAAAACGGAAATATCCGAAGATTTCTGAGTGTTACAAAGTTTTCCGAATGCATGTCAAAATACCGGTTTTCGATCAGCGTATCGCAATACGTATCGTTTTCATGTCTGAACCGGTAAATACCGGTAAACCGGTTATATTGCACAGCCCTACCAATGAGAATAGTATTCTATCAATAAATGTCTCCCATTTCACTTTGACCAAACAACCATAGAGCAATATGCAACATGGCCAGACAATATGATACCAAATGGGTGTCTTGTCCTGTTGTAGAAAGAATAGATAGAGCACATATAGTCAAAGTGGAGAGAAAAACTTCCCACGAACCAAAACACGTCATATTTTGCCATATACTGTCAAGTTTGAGGACTGTACCTTCTACTTTCTTCATATCCTATCTGCTGTTTCATAAACATGGCATTCTTCAGCAGTTCCTGGATGTTTTGGAAGTGGAATTCACTCTGGTACATTGTCTTCACAGCACTGTCAACAGAGGATGAAAAGCTCATGCATACATAGTGGGGTGGTGGTCCCATTAATTGAAATAATCGAAGATTGGTTGCAATGACTAAACGACCAAGCAATCGATCATGTTTTCTCATAGTTGAACACAAACAATTTTGAAACACTTGTTTGCCTTGACAATATTTTTCACAAGGTTCGTTTTGTCTGTTACATTTCATAAGCACTACAAGATCGATCCAAGTCTTGACTGAATTTATCTTAAAGAGTCTAAGAAAGTAATGTCCCTAATATACTAGTCATCCTTTAAAGATGTAAAATTTGCAAATGCATTGTGTGCAATTTGCAAAAAACCCGAAAGAACTACGTTTTTTCTTTATTTTTGGCGCATTAACAAACAATACCAGGAATATTTGATAAATGGCGCCAACCAATTATTGTCGATGATTGATCGGTTGTAATTAACAAATCATCAATTATGTGATTTTAACTAATTCCCAACACTAATACATAGTAATTTAGTTTGATATAGTTGTACACTGGCTTGGGGAAAGATTCAGAAATAAACCTGGATCTGTTCAGAGGCAGCCAAGACACAGCCCCATTCATTAGAAAATGTCTGTATTCCCCAGGTGAAACTAAAAGTTTCCAATTCCATGTTATATTGTTATAACTACCAATATGGTGAGGTATTTTTACTGACCCATAAGAAGTCAGCTTTCATTGTTCAAAGCCTATCTATACTTCGTTACATTGAATACTGTGTTAAAGTATCTCTGAATTTAAGTAAAGAAGAATTTTCTGAAAAAATATCAAGTTTGATTAACAATACAGGTAACTAATTTTCCCCAAACAGTACTTACATATATGAGGAATAGGAATGCAAGTTTTGCAAAAGGCAGCATAAAATCACCAGACAGAAAATGTAGGTGTGCCTTTGTGAAAATAAGCATCCCCATATCTTTTGATGATCCAATTCAACTTCAACATAGCTACAATTTCATCTTGATTAATAAATCAGTAAACATCATGTAAAGCTGTTAAGTTGAAAGCTGAATTTCCTGAACACAATCATGACTTGAAGAAGAGTTCAGCTTCATTTGTCCTGGACCCATAAACTAACTCACAAACTATGTTATTGTCCAAAATGGGATATACAGGAATACGGTCATCTTCCTCATCTGCAGGTACTAAGATGCGAGTTGGGTGTGTGTGCTTGCGAGGAATGCAGAGATGAAAACCTATTAATTCTGAGTGAGTGAGTTTAGTTTTATGTCGCTTTTAGCAATATTCCAGCAATATGACGGCAGGGGACACTAGAAATGGGCTTCACACATTGTTCCCAAGTGGGGAATCAAACCCAGGCCCTCGGCATCATGAGCGAATGCTTTAACCATTAGGCTACCCCACCACCCCTAATTCTCACGGACCATTCCTAATTTATGGCTGGGGTGGGGTGGTGGGGTGTGGAAAAAGATGATGATTTTAAGGGAGGTGGGTCACCCATTTTGTTCTGGGGAGGTGGGGGTCCAGCAATTTGCACATAAAAATATTAAAAATTATGCTCAGAAATTATGGATAGGGGGAGGGGGATCATTGATTTTGTACATGATATGCAAAACTTACTTTGTATGTAAATTTTAGGGGGGCATTCACATTGTACATGCTTCTGCATAAAAATCATCATCACCATGATGAAAATGTTTAATGGATTTTATTGATCACAGAGTGTCTGTAGTAGTTTCATTATTTAAACAACTACCCATGCTGTAAGAAAAGACTTACTTTGTGGCATATTCTGTATCGAAACATGCCCCTTGAACTTGCTGTTGTATACTCTGCACTTCATGCTGGAAATGGATGATAGGTGATAAATACATTGTTTGTTGACAGGTGCCAAGACTTGTTTGACAACAGAATACATTCCCATATATAAATAGTCCTGTCCTCATTTCATCTGAAACACTACAACTAAAAGGTAATTTCCATACTTATATTTGAAAAAGAGAACACTAATTGAAGTGGAGAGGATACACTGTCGCCCACCAAGTTATTGATCGAGTACCATCTCCATGCTGTTTGGCTGTTGTCTCTTAACAAATAGTAACACAATGATAAAAATGCTGGATACAACCATATATATGTTGCAAGTGGATGTTTGGTGTTGACAATGATTAATTTCATAACCAAGTGGATAACATTTTAAACCAAACCGATGTGGTCTGCCTAGTTTCCTGTACTTGGACTGACTGACTGACTGACTGAGTTTGTTTCACGCTTTTTAGCAATATTCTCATGCAGCGGGCCAGAAAGCATTTCCATGTGTCCAACTTGGCTAACGCTTTAACCACTAGGCTAAAGGAAAAGGAACTGGTCAGCTAGTCATTTTGGTCATTTATTGCTGTTTTAGCATTAGAGGTCATCAAGTCTGTTTGAAATCTGAAGTTTCATTCCATGATGCCACAAAATGAAAGATGTTTGGTGAGGGTTGTAAGCCCACAAGGCTCTGTAGCTAGTTGGACATAGGAAGGTAGAATTTGATATAAATCTACATATTTTGATTCAAATATCTACAGTTAGCTAAGGAAGGATTGTGGAAAATATTCTAAGATACTGAAAACAAAGGATATATGGGTTCTATTTTTATTTATTTTGGTAACGAGAGTGAGTGAGTTTTAGTTTTACGCTGCTTTTAGCAATATTCCAGCAATATCACAGCTGGGGACAACAGAAATGGGCTTCACACATTGTACCCATGTGGGGAATCGAACCCGGGTCTTCTGCATGATGAGCCAACACTTTAACCACTAGGCTACCCCACTGCCCCTTGGTAACAAGAGAACTCAGTGACGGATTGGGGGTTAATAATGTGTTTTTCACTGTAGCGTTGCTGTCCTTTGATGGTTGAAACTGCAGCGTGCTCAATATTTAAGTCTCATGAGATTGATCGCTTCTCACTACACATCATAGACATGATGAACACAATGAGATGGCTACTGTCAGAATATTGTTGAAAGTGGCACGTACCAGCCACTGACATCATCTGACAAAACTCAAGCCAACCACAGTCAGTGTTAGAAACCGAACAGTCTAAGTAAACTTCATCCTCGATAATCTCCAGGGTATACGTTACGATCACTCTCCACTATACCCTCGATGCATCCACGGCTTGGCCCGATGATTATATTACCTCCCTTTGCTGGCTCCGCATTCTCACAGTAGGCAATCAGCTAAGCTGCAATTACATCCGAGCTTGCCAGTGTCAACAAAGATAGTGGCTGCAGTCGCGAAGGATTGTTCGCAGTGCCACTCAGATTTTTTGAGGAAATAATACAGACAAATTGACAGATCTGAAACTTTCAAAAAATATATAAAAGAACTCTTTCTACCTCTTTCAGAGTACCTCTGCATCAATTGTGTTGCCAAGTTTAAACCGTTAGATAATTTAAGTAAGCGAAAGTGAGTTGTGATTGGTTCGCTCAACTTCCCAGCGTAGACACCTGATTGGATAAAAAGCCAGCCAAGGGATGTAATAAAATCATCGGGCCAAGCTGTGGATGCATCCAGGGTATAGTGGAGAGTGATCGTAACGTAAACCCTGGAGATTATCGAGGATGAGTAAACTTAGGCTCAGTATTTTTGGTTACACTGGTATACTGAGTCTAACAAAACCTTGTGGAAGGTCGCGTCAGGTAACCTTTGAACGACCTATGACCGTCCAATCAAACGCGAGACGGCTGATCGGATTTAACCAATTAGACAACTACTATTTAGGGTTTGGTGGGACTTACAAAATGGATTTTCTCTTCCCCAGTCGCCAACACTGATCTCATAACAAATGAAAACCTGCATAAAACACAGATATATGACCTGCAGAATATACGCTTTAGGGTTTCTGTTGACATGGTTATCATTAGCTAATATTTCCGCAAGCTGACATCCTTGAATACTGACAAAACGCTATTCTCAACGACTGTTTACTCACTCTTGTGGCGTGCTCCATGTGCATCACTCGGAAGCAATCGTATGGAAAATAGCATTCGGAATTGTTCGGGTACCAAAAACATTTGAGGTAAAAGTGCAAAAGGTATGTGCGAATGTCAACTTTCGCGATTTGGTAAGCTGTGTTCTGATTGGTCCTTTGAAAAGGTCAGCTGATGCGACCTTCCACAAGGTTTTGTTAGACTCAGTATAGCAGTGTAACGAATAATACTGAGCCTAAGTTTACATAGACCGAAAAACCGACCTGTGTTTTAATCTGGGAATCTCATGGACCCATATCATAATATTAATATTTTGACGATAATATTTGAGTGAGTGACTGATATAGTGAGTGAGTGAGTGAGTATGGTTTAATGCCACCTTTAGCGATATTCCAGCAATGTCATGGAAGGGCTTAATTCATTGTACTTATATGGTGAAATGAAGCCATGTCTTCGGTTGGACGATTGAATGCTTTAACCACGAGGCTACCCCACCCCCCTGACAATTATGTTTGACTTTCAGTTGTAATTTCAAACCCTGAATGAGATACAATGTTGGTTTTGGTTCCTTACCTTCTGTTCCACCAGCTGTGGCAGAGTCTTCCTCACGTGCTCCTGGATACGGAAGAAAGCCAGCGATGGTTCATTGGCCACTGTGTTTATATTTTCTGAGAATTTGTCTGAAACTGATAAAAAGCAATTGCATCACTTTTCATGTGTTGAACTTGCAGGCTAAAGTACTGTCGGAAATAGAAAACAAATGGTATTTTCACATTTATATCAACAATTTATGTAGTGGTCATATGTGAAAGTGTGAAATATCTGTTAAACTAAGTTCGGCCTAACTACAGTCTCAGTGGTAGGGAGATAGGAAACATAAAAAAGGACTTTACTGAGGAGAGATTTAAATAGTGCAGAAATGAGCAGTGTGTTTATTTCCTATGTCCAAAGTGACTTATTTGGAACAGATAATGGCTTGTAAGCAAATCAGTGTGCGATGACATTAGTTGCATTACAAAGGGCACTTTCTATGCCCATTTTGAAATTAGACTTAGCTTCACTATTAACGATAGCTGACGTAAAATATAACAACTTTAATACTGAAACTATTAAGGATGTAGCTACCATGGAACCTCACACTTCACTATAAAAACAAACAGGTAGGAGGGGTCGTCACAAAAGCAAAACCAGGACGGGTGTCGCAGACGATGGTTGGGGTTGGGCATATATCTTCACATAAACCTTATGAAAGAAAGACACTTACAATGTTAATCAATAGATGAGACATATTCAATTGCAACACATATGAAAAAGCATCAAATTATCTTTGAGATGACCCCTTGTGCCCGTAGGCAGCACATGCATTTCATGCCAGGTGAGTCAACGGTCCATTATCATACCTAGCTGAGCGATCTAATTGCCATCTATAGTCTGATCTATTGTTTTCAGCAGCTATTCATATTTTTTCTAAGTTTTGTCTGATTTTAAGAACTAGTAAACATGCTTTTCTGGATATCCTATTATGCATTCCACTGAATGCCCAGTTAGGCTGATGTGGGTTATTTCGACATGTGCTATTTGAAGTTGTGTAAATGTTAGGGATACAGAGTAACAGCCTAAAAACAGGTATTGTTTCATTTCTGACAGAACTTTCATCATTGACAAGACCATATCAACTGGATCGTGTGGTCAATAACAACAACTACAATAATGATCCCCTTTACATGAAGGACATCGAACTCATTGAGTTTAAGGAATGATGGAGCATGTTTTGGAGGACTGGTCTGTTAAATATTTAGGAATGAAAGTTGAGACAAGCTCCAGCAAGTCAATATCAAAGAGAAACTTGCTTCTGAATATAAATCCCATCTAAAGAAAGATTGGAGTTGAGTGCCTAAAGATGGAAATAAATATAGAGCCATATATACTTATGCTGTGTCTGTCCTTTTTATTTTTATGGTGTTATCAAGCTTGATAACAGTGTTAGAATCTACACCAAAATGTCGCTCTAACTGTAATAAAGAAATTCTTCATTCATATATTGTTATCTTTCTTAAGAAATATCATGCCACAGCTCGATCCTCATAGTGCCATTCAGATGGTTAATGTGACTTGAATGAGGACCATCATGATGTGACCCAAAATTTGTGGACATTGTCATAAAAAATGACAGTAATGAAATTCTTTGGCAGGGCTCCAGATAATTTTTCATGATCAGGAGTACGTACTCCTTATTTTTTCAATATAGGAGTACTGGAAAACAATAAGAGTACATTTAGAGTACTGAAAGGAATTAAATGGCGTATAAGAAATCTTGTGTTTCGTTTCATATATGCACCACAACATTGCTACTCTTGTGTAAACAGGTCAGTAAACAATAAAACAATACTTTTTCAGATACATACGTCTGTAAATGGTGAAACCGTACACCATTGCTGTGGTCCGTATCTGCTACGTTTTTAAAATTGTACCCTACCTTATCGTGCTTATTTTATATCCGTACCTACGCCGATACGGCCCTTATCTGGAGCCCTGCTTTGGAATAGGTCCATATACAGCCCCTGACTTATCCAGACCTTGTTAACCCACCTGATTCATTACCAAACCAGCACATGTGGTTTACTGCCATCATGTCTATGGTATACCTGTATGTAGTATTTAAATCTAAGGACACACAAAACTTTCAACTTTAAGAACTAGATAATGACATGGGCTCCATGTTATATGTTGCATCTAAATTTCACACACTGTTATCAACGTGTACCAGTCGAATTTCCCCAGCTACAAAATGCCCCAGTAAATTTGGTCAAATTGCCCCGGATTTTTGGTCAAATTGACTCAGGGTTGGTCAAAATGCCCTAATTTATTTAAAATGATAACATAGTGAACATGTTTTTGTAACCAGTTTTTATCCTCACCTTTTGACAAGATTAACAAAGCTCTAGATTGTTTCGATAAGTACTATACCATACTTGTCTATTAGTGTGATAATACAAACATTTTAATTAAATCTTGTTCTTCTTTACAAAAGCATTAATAACATGCAGAATAATTGGTATACAGTGTTTTCTGTACAGGAATATTCCTTTTGCTCTCATGCGTTTACAAACAGAACTCGTGGTCTCTGATAATCCAACTAATACTTATAAATTTGTACCTCTCCTTGTCTTATGGTCCAGCTCAGGGTCAACAGATTCGCGGAAGATCTGGTTACTGCTCATACGACTGTACAAACCATCTCCACCTGTTAATACAACATAGGATACAACTTGGTTAATAACATGTGAGATTGTGTCTTCCGCAAAATGGCGTCATGGTAGGCTGAGGGTAACTAAGAGTGAGTGAGTGAGTCTAGTTTTACGCCGCTTTTAGCAGTATTCCATCGGCTGTAGGTGAATTTGTAGACCAGACTGGTTCGTAGACGTTGGAATTCGGTGGATTCGTAGGCAGATTGAGTGGTGGATTCGTAGACGTTAGTAAAATGGGAAAAGTTCAACCTCAATGATGATGAAAATCGATATTATGACTTTAATGTAATCGAAAAGTGTTTGCATTTTGTGAAATAAATTATTAAAATATATCAGGTAAGTATGATCAGCGATAAAAATATGCTTAAAATAATAAAATATGCTTCACAGCGGTCCACGTCCGACAAATCATAGGCCGCTAATACATTGTATATTAAATTCAGTTGTGTAAAATTAAAAGATATGTATTAGGTAAGTATCGTCATTCAACATTCAACTACGCAGACCAGCAGAGAAGTAGCAGAAAGCACTTCTTAAGAAAACACTTACATCTCCTACACACAGTATTTCGCAATCAAACAACTCACCACTTCCTAATTAACATTCACAACAACTCAGTGAAACCTGTTAATCCACATTCACAACAACTCAACTCAACAAAAAATACAACACAAACCCTACATATACAAATACATGTAAACAAGTCTAGACAAGATATGGGAAAATATTCGTTCACTCTTCAATCACACTTTTCTTGTCCTTAGCTGCCCTTAGTTTTGTATCACTGAAAACAAAGCACAACAACTTCGTTATACACAATCTAAGTAAAATTAAAACTGAATATATACTATTATTCAATTATTAATACACGTCTATGAAATCACTGTCTACGAACCAGTCTTGGTTACCAATCCACCGCGTCTACGAACTGGTTCAGTCTACGAAATCACCGTCTCCCATTCCATCAATATCACGGCGGGGGAACACCACAAATGAGCTTCACACATTGTACCCATGTGGGGAATCGAACCCGGATCGTCAATGTGACGAGCGAAGACTTTCACCACCCCCAAGTAACTAAGAGACATGAGGGGACCACAATCAAGACAAGACCCTACCTCACGACTGCTGAATCCCATCTGGCTGTCAGCTTTGGGCTACCACTGACAAGGATGTTAAAAATTCATAATATATACAGTCTTTATGAATATTTTTGCTTGTACAAGCCACTTGTATTTCAATGTACAAACCTGAGCATAGTTACTCATTTTTTTCTAAAGCTGCCTGCTGAGGGTATACTTAGTGTGTTTTCCTCGATAAATCACTTTGGTTTGTAATGATACAGAATTCTGACGTTTTTCGGATGATGGATTGTGGAGGTATTCGATATGTGATGATAGGTGTGAATGTTCTATGATTTGAATCTACAGTGCACAATAATACATGGATTTTAGAATGTGTGAGTCGGATCATTGACGGAATGGAGTTACAAAAGATTTCACGCAGAATCAATCATTCACTGATTCAGTCAGACTGGCAACCATCAACTCAGGATTTTAATTTTAAACTATCGCTGTCTAAGCAATAGGCTTTGTGTATGAGAACAGGGTGACCTCCTTACCCTGCATGTTCGGCTGATGCTGGAACCACAAGTAGTTCATTCCATTTTCCATCCAAAAGAACTTTGACCCCACTTAATCGACAAATTGTTTTTAACGCAATGACAAAAGCAGATGCAGAAAACCCGGAAACGCAGAAGGGCAAGCTCTTTCCCAACGCGTGATCGATTTGCTGCCCTCACTATCGCTGTGAGAAGCTCCAACTAGACTGGTATCCTGTGTTCCCGCTAGTTGAGCAAACGCTCTAAGGTAGGCAAACCAGTCTAAGCTACGACAGGCTCCTCACAGACTGTGAAAGTCAGACGCGACCATGCATGGAGTTGAACCAGAGACAATGTAATCTATTATATATGGTGTCTGGTTGAACTCGCAACGTTTGACTCTTAAAAGTTTATGCACAAGCAGAGGCCATATTGTCTCTGGCACAAGTGATAACTGAATTTTAGAACACAACTGTTAAATTGTAGTACATAACTGTGAAGTTTGTTGCTTTAACATAGAATTACTTATGGATAACTACTTCATTATTATATTATGATACGACGTTTCGGTAAAGATTAATGTCACATCAAAATATAATAAAGAAGCTGTTATCCATTAAGTACTTACTTATTAAGTATAATGTGTGAAGCCCATTACATAGGCGGATCCAAAAGGGAGGGAGGGAGAGAGAGAGAGAGAGAGAGAGAGAGAGAGAGAGAGAGAGAGAGAGAGAGAGAGAGAGAGAGAGAGAGAGAGAGAGAGAGAGAGAGAGAGAGAGAGACGAGAGAGTAAAATTTATATATAGAGAGAGGGGGGGAGGGGGTTTGATTGGTTTTATAACAGTGCTAATAAATACAGAACGTCATACAAAAAAGAAAAGTACTGTTGGAAATAGACAAAAAAAACTGTTTTTGGCTGTTACTCTGTATCCCTAACATGTACACAAATGCAAATAGCATATGTCGAAATAACGGTATGTTGTCATTTCGCCTACATCCCATTTCGCCTACAGTCTTAAAACAACATGTCATGGTCTGTTGACTGTTGATTACGCAATGGTGAACTAGAGGCACCCCTATGATCTAAAAATGGACTCTTCTAGTTGAAGTAGTTGAAGGACAAAAAATAATTTATTTATTTATGTTACTTATCATTTTCTGATCACAATGAAATGATAATTTATTTTTCTTATATCACATCATATCATCACACCATCTTCTAGTTGAAGTAGTTGAAGGACAAAAAGAAAGGTTTTTTAAAGAATTTATTTCTGTTATTTGTCTGTTACTTATTTATTCTGTTATTTGTCATTTTCCGATCACAATCGTGACATTGTCCATTCTGTCTTCAACTTGATAAGGCGACCAGCTGCGTCGAGGAATTGAAGGGGTGATCTTCTCCCAGAAGCAAGTTGCTCAATATGTCTGTCCAAGCGACTCTCCAGGTAGATCCTTGATTTGTACACTGTTTCGGCCACAGCAAGGATATCCATCATCTCTGCGGTTGTGAACATCAGAAGCCTGTTGTCATCACCGTCGTCTACCACCAGGAACTGCCGGCCGTCTGAAGTCTCTGTCTTAAAAGCTTAAATTTTGTCTCTATTTGTTTGTAATTATTTTAAAAAACACAATCATGCGCAAGTCTTGAGGTTGTCACTTGTGACAACAGATCTTATCCTGTTTTTAGGCTGTTACTCTGTATCCCTAACATTTACACAACTTCAAATAGCACATGTCGAAATAACCCACATCGGCCTAACTGGGCATTCAGTGGAACGCATAATAGGATATCCAGAAAAGCATGTTTACTCATAAAAACAGACAAAACTTAGAAAAAATATGAATAGCTACTGAAAACAATAGATCAGACTATAGATGGCAATTAGGTCGCTCAGCCAGGTATGACGATGGACCGTCGACTCACTTGGCATGAAATGCACGCGCTGCCCACAGACACAAGGGGTCATCTCAAATATATTTTATGCTTTTTGTCTTTATTGATTATCTAATCTTAGCTAATATCTCTATCCCCAAGCTCGACCCCAACTACCGTCAGCAACACCCATGTTGGTTTTGCTTTTGAGACGACCCCTCCTACCTGTTTCTTTTTATAGTGATAGTGAGACTCAATGGTATCTACATCCCTAATAGTTTCAGTATTAATGTTGTTATTTTTTACGTTTGCAATCGTTTATTATGAAGCTAAGTCTAATTTCAAAATGGACATTCTAAAAGTGTCATTTGTTATACAAGATCATCGCTCACTAATTTGCATAAAGCCACGGTCTGCTCCAAATAAGTCCTTCGGACTTTGAAAAAACCGCATTGCTAATTTCTGCACAAATTATCTCCTCAGTAAAATCCTTCTTTTACATTTCCTATGTCCCGCCCACTGAGACTGTAGTTAGGCCGAACTTAGTTTAATAGATATTTCACACTGCCACATATTAACTACCTAAATTGTAGATATAAATGTGCAAGAACAGGTTGTTTTTTTCTATTTCCGACAGTACTTTGTTTAAGTGCATTTGGACAGTATATAATATGTATTGAACTCGAGGGTGTCATGGTAGGTTTTGGTTCGGTTTGCTTTGGTTGTTGTTTAACGCTATATTGCAGCTATATGTCGGCAGTCCGTAAATAATCGGGTCGGGACCAGACAATCCAGGGATCAGCATCATGATCACCAGATCCCGTTAGTCGCCTCTTACAAGAATGGGTATCATGGTAGCAACTCATCCTCGATAATCTCCAGGGTATACGTTACGATAAATCTCCACTATACCCTGGATGCATCTACGGCTCCATGATTGTATTACCTCCCTTGGCTGGCTCTTTATCCAATCAGGTGTCTACGCTTGGAAGTTGAGCGTACCAATCACAACTCACTTTCGTTTCTTTTATCTAGCCAATTACCCTTGGCAACATAATTGTTGCAGAGGTACTCTGAAAGAGGTAGAAAGAGTTCTTGCATATATTTTAAAAGGTTTCAGACCTGTCAATTTGTCTGTATGATTTCCCCAAAAATTTGAGTCGCACTGCGAACAAACCTTAGCGTCTGCGACCGCTATCTTCGTTGACACTGGCAAGCTCTGTGGTAACGTCGGCTTAGCTGATTGGCTGCTGTGAGAATGCGGAGCCAGCAAAAGAAGGAAGTAAAATTATCGGACCGAGCCATAGATGCATTCAGGGTACTAGTGGAGATTTCTCGTAACGTATACCCTGGAGATTATCGAGGATGAGGATGGGTAGCAACTCTTCGATCTCACTGCCAACTCACTCACTCTTCCGCGCTGTCCTGTTAGGAAACTTTAAGTCAACACCGAGTAGCCCTTCTTATTTATCATGCTTTTGTGTTATGAAATGAATTGATACTTTAAATGGGACAATATTGTTATTGGTACTATGCCATTCCTTTGTATAGCATTGTTGCTCACCTGTATAGTTAAACCCGTGAAGATCTGGGATAGAATTGGTCTTCAGCAACCCATGCTTGTCGCAAGAGGCTACTAACGGGATCGGGTGGTCAGGCTCTGTGACTTGGTTGTGACATGTCATCGGTTCCCAATTGCGTAGATCGATGCTCATGATATTGCAAAGATCAAAGAAGAAAGTGCTCACAAAATGGCAAATATCTACTCATAGCATGCACGGGAAATTACGGTGAGTGAGTGAGTTGGCTTTTACACCGCTTTTAGCAATATTCCAGCAATATCACGGCGGGGTACACATTGTACCCATGTGGGGAATCGAACCTGGGTCTTCGGCGTGACGAGCAAACGCTATAACCACTAGACCACCCCACCGGCCCGGGGAAACTACAAGGTACAGTAATGTTACAGCTGCAATTGTAGCAGCGACCACTCCATGCAAAAGGTAACATGTGTTACTGTTAGTCATACCGGACAACTGACGTAGAACAATTACAGGAATTTACATTATATGGTAACAAGGTGCATAAATATTTCAACGTTTCTGGAAAGCCACAAAAGTGCATGCAAATCAATATTTGTTATTGTTAGTATTACAGTTACTGCAGTACTGTACATCAAGTTTCACGCATTTCCGTTTTACATTATTTAAATTCTGATCAGAAATCCGACAGCAAGTTTCAGATCTAGTATTGCTTTCCATTTTGGGAAGTTTTAAAAAGTTTTAACTAATTGTAGTGACAATTGGCACAGTCACTTCAAGAGATTATTTGTTGTAAAGAGGATAGAGATACAGGCTTAGCTTACGCCTTTAATAGTTTTAATTGTGATGTGGACACTTCTGAAGATGATCTTAACACTGATATTTTAGATGCTCCTATTATGGAAACAGAGATACTAGAAGGTATACAACATTTGAAACCGAATAAATCTGCAGGAATAGACAATCTTATTCCAGATTTCTTTAAATGTGCTAAGGATAATCTTATGCCATATATGTGTGTTATATTTAATTTAATGTTGGAAAAAGCTTATTTTCCCAAAGGGTGGGAAGTTGGTACAATTATTCCTTTGTATAAGAGTGGAGATCCGAATAATCCAGTGCATTATCGAGGAATTACTGTACTTAGCAAATTTTTTCAGTATGTCATTAACAGAAGATTAATATTTTGGTCTAATGCTACAAATAAGATTAATGAAGCCCAGGCAGGTTTTAGAGAAAGCTATTCAACCATTGACAATGCATTTATTCTAAACAGCCTCATACAGCGATATCTTTCTTGTAAAGGTTCGAAGTTTTATGTCCTTTTTGTTGATATTTCTAAAGCCTTTGATTCTGTTAACAGAAATAAATTATGGATGTTATTAACAGGACATGGTGTGAGTAATAAAATGAGGAACATGTTACTGAGCATATATAACAATGTTAAAGGATGTATTAGAAGTAAGGGGGTTTTGTCAGCAACTTTTTGATTGTAATATTGGTGTTCGCCAAGGGTGTATTCTGAGCCAATTCTTGTTTTCATTCTTTATAAATGAACTAGCGACCGCTGTTCATCAGAATTGTAATGATGGTATACAACTACATCCTGACATTGTTAAGTTATGCCTCCTATTAATTGTTTGCCGATGATATTATCATGTTTTCTAGCACTGTTAAAGGCTTACGACGTCAAATTACTGTTTTAGAAGATTATTGTGACAAATATAAGTTAAAAATAAATAGAGATAAGACTAAGATAGTGGTTTTAAGAATGGTGGAAAATTATCCA